GTTGGAATGGAGCCTTAAAAATAAAGAGAGGTTCTAGAGGAAAAAAATGAAATAATCAAAAGTTTTATTTTTGTGGCCTGGGAGGTACTCACTGTGGTAGATAACCATAGAAAAGGCTACAGAGTATTTGCTATTAGAAGAAAGTACTATCTACATCATCCTTAAATTTTCTCAAATTTATCCAGTGGAGTAAGTGACAAAGATGGTGACACAATTGCCATTCATAAAAGGTGAGTTTTTGTCCTCAAATGTCCTTATAAAGAGAATGTCATTGGTTTTAAAATAATACAAGGAGATGAAATTTCATATCTAAGTGAATTAAGAGCAAAGCCACAACATTAGCATGGCAGCTAATATGACTTAATGTGACACTAAAACCTATTTTTAACTATTACATATGGGAACCCACTGTCTAGAAAGTAATTTTTTTATGGCCATGGGATTTTTATTCAATACTCCTGTTCCAAAAGTAATTTAAAGATTTCCAAGAACAATGAGGACTTCAGATATGACAGTCAGATAGTTTTGACTTGGAAAATACTGTATAATTAGCATTACATCTCTCTAAATTCTATTAGTAAACTCACCCAAATAGTTACCATAAATGCGATACTAAATTCAAAAGTTATATACCTTAGCCTTTCTGTAATGATTCTGATATAAATACTTAAATAAATTTTTAAAATAATTTAGTATATACAATTTTAGTTCCCACATGGATAGAAACCAAACATGTAGGAGGGAGGCCAGGGAAGATTTAAAGGTGACTGAATAATAGAAACATCAACCAAGACTCAGATTTAGAGATGACTCAGAGAATAAAAATTTTAACAAAGAATCATATCAACACACTGTATCATAACAAAAACTGCATGCAGATTAAGTAATAAATAATCAGCATCAAACCTCTGTTTAAGAGAAAGCACAAAGGAATAAAATGCATTTTAAATTTCTTCTCATCAAAATGGCTTCAAAAAATCTTAGCGTGCCAAAGAGTTAGCCCCTATTTATCCATAACTTTTTTGATGAAGATTTTTCAATTATGCTGAATTAATTAGGTGTCACAATACAACATCTATATAACAATTAAAGGTCAATTTAGCATAGAATAATAAAATGACAGGGAGTACTAATTAGCATGGTCATAAATTCTTTCTGTACACATTTTCTCAAAGCACTTGACTTAAGTGTAATTCTCTGCCTTGATAGTCCTGTTAAAATTTATACAGGATTTGCTGAGCCTGGGTCCCAGATAAGGATAAAAGGTTTGAGAAATACATGGTTTACTCACTAACAGCCATTTCTTACCAGGCTTTTTTTTGCCCCACCAACAAAGTGACCTTTACTTAAACTATTAGCTTTGAGAAGTGAGGTGTAAAGAAAACCACAGCTTAGGGATCTGACCTCCCAAAATGTGGACATTTATCAGAGTATGCTCTTTAGCCCCTGACATTTTCCAAAGTAAACGTTGGTTGATTAGGGACTTAAATCAAAACTGAATTTGCTTATTCTGTGACTTGAAAGCACTAGCAATGGAATATAGTAGCTTTTTACAAAAAAACAAAAACAAAGTCACCAACTTATCCCCTGTCATTTCAAAAGGAAAACAAATCTCTGAAAGTGAAATGTCCCCTTCATGCAATAGTGAATTTCTAAATACTAAGTTCCTTCTTTTCAGTAAAGAGGTAACTGATGAATCAGTATTCACAAAGTAGCATTTGATAGAACGGTATTGTTAGTTAAACAAATGTTCTGTGTAAGCCGCAAGATATGAGAGAGATAATTTTTATGGGCTGCCATAAGCAAGCAATTCAGATTCTCAGAACCTCCTTCTCAATTTAAAGAATGAGTTTGGGAGCAAAGACCTTGGAGATGATACCAACCATATAAGAATACAGCCCATCAGGGATAAAATGGTACAAAATTTGGGACATGAGATGTCAGGCAAGTCCAAGACCTGATGATACTGGGACATACCTACATTTTGGCATTGTGATTCCTTAAGCGTTAAGGTTCATTTTCCTATCACAGCATAAAGTTGTATGTTACCCGTCTACACACTTTTTGAGACCTCAAAACATCATTGTTTAATGTGCACCCAGTGAAGAACTCCTGGCCATATTATGTACTTATTCAAATCCCTGGGTTTATTTTTTCTGTTAGAATTTGTCTTGTACTTTGATTTTCCTTAGGGCTGATATTAAGACAGTAAGATCTTCATGAAACCCTCACAGGCAACTGCATTCAGCCCAGAACAAAGGACTGTTGTTAGTTTGCATGGGCTATTACCATGTTCCAGTTTGATTTTACATCATTCACTTGAATTTTCTAATTTAATTCCCACAACAAATTTGGGTATAAAGTTTTATCACCTCCATTTCAAAGCTGAGGAAGTCTTTCAGAGGTTAAATAATAGTGTCCAAGCTGTCCCAGGGCACTCAGTAGTCAACTTGGAACAAAACCCAGGTCTCCTTCTGGCCCGACTCCATGGTTTCTCAAACACTTTCTGTCCTGAATCTCTTTCACAGACCTGCTTTATCTCTGTACGTTTCTTTCTTTTCTTGACCTCAGTATCTTCACAGAAATATAATATTCTTTCCAAAGAGATCATACTCTAAACTGGCCTTTGTGTCAGGGGTACACTTGCAAGTCTTAAGGGGGAACACACAACAAGTGAGGTGAAGACAGCAGAACATAAACAGTACTTAAAAACAATCACATCTGACCTTTCTGTCCACAGATAAGTACTCTGCGATGAACTGTCTAGAAGAGCTTCCTTTACTGTGTGTGTAGCTAGCACTATTTCCATGGGAAAATATAGCTTTACTATAAAATAGCATGAATGGCATCAGTACCTGTCCAATGTAGTTCATGTTTCCTGTAAATATGATTAAACAAACCAACAACAAACTTGATCAACTGCATGATCCCTTGAACAGTGGCATCCCCAATTACCCATGAGCAGAATGGGTCACTGCCAAGGTTTAATCTGTATCAATGGGAATGAGGCCACCACAAGGGACGGTAGGAGGATGAATGTCTAACTCTTAGGGTCAGGGGATCATGGGACTGGGCATCAAGAAAGGTTGTGCTATTCTTAAAATATTGAAGATAAAATGGCTTGTGTTAAAGGACATAAAAAGACAGGAGACTGACCCTGGTTGGAACAATCCTGATGACCACTAGCCAATCCAACCACTTTCCAGACACTCTACAATGTATTACATGTCAGAGAGAATAAAAAAAACTGCCATCGATCATTTGGAGACTTCTAGTATACTTAGATATTCCTTGTCATATAGATAAATTATCCAGACATCAAACTAATTTCTTCAGTTTCCACTTGAAAGCTTTATGTCACTTAGGTCTAGTCATCATTGAATTAATGTTTCCTTTTCTCCCATTTCTGAAAACACTGATGCTGTACACCATGGCATAGAGAATGTGGTTAATATGCATTTCTAGTTAACCTAGTTATACATTCAATTATGCATATTTATTTTTTATCGTTGTTTTACTCACATTGCTGTTCATATCTTATCTTTCCTTTTTTATAGAAAAGTTCTTGAGGAAATGCCTAAAATTAAGCATCCTCACATTATTCACAGTGTTTTTAGTACCATCTTTTACATAGTTATTCCTAATTAATAGATGATTTTGGAATGGGTGCTCAAAGAGCTATATTGCAAAGATAAACTAAACACAGGAAGTGTATCTATCATGGGTGTGTGGCTTTCCTGAGCATACAGAATGTATTTTGGAGTTTGGTGGGACTTAAAGGTCATCATTACAGACATTCAAGGCAACTGAAGTATATAGACTTGGGTAATGCAATTTAATAGTGGGCTGGGGATAAGCTAGTGAATCATGTCACATCCTTGCATAATTTCTAGAACTCTTAGGGTAAACACCAAGTTCCACACATCCCAACTTATTTATTCCCTTGTCCATATCTCTACACTTGCAACCTCAGCTCACACATTCATTCTCTTCTTTTCTTTAGTCACATTATTCTGTTTTTCATGTCCTGAAAGGTACCACAGTTTCTCCTGTTAGAAGTCCTTTGCCATGTTATTCCACCATCAAATTATTATCCGATTTTCCCTTCCCCAATCAGCCAATGTCTACTCATTCTCAAGCAGGTCTTTTGAGACAGGTTCTGCCTTCAGTGAGTAAAATTTCATGGTTATACGCTCTTGTAGACCCCAGACACTTGTTGAAGATTGTAATTATGTATTCATAGAGAGATCGCTGGAATAATGTAGACTCTTCACCCCCTGCTATTTTTTAAGCAGCATGAAAGCAGGGTCCTTACCAGGTTGCTCCCCATCGAATCACCAGTGCCTACTCATTGCTTCCCAGAAGGTAGTTGCTCAATAAACATTTGTGAATAAATCAATGAATGAACATGTAACTTTGCCTTCTGACTACTACTATCTAGATCAGGCATACCCAAGTGTTTTCAATTTGGAATAATTATGCACAGTTACATATGAGGCTGGGTGACTGTTTTTAAGTATATTTTAAATAGCAGGTGAGTCATTAACTTTGATGCAATGAAAATCAGTTGAAACTCTCATTACTCTAAACCCAACTACTTTGTTTCCTTAATCAAATATACCATCCATGGTAACAGTTGAACCCGGTGCTGATATGAAATTTGTTAGAGATGTTTATCTATGTGAAGATGACTTCCTACACCTAGCTGCACTATGAACTAATAGTTATCAGACAGAGCATTCAAAGCAGCATGATCCCTCTTGAATTCAAAGAATCAGTGAGAATGTCAATTACTGCTAGATGGACAGACAGAATATAATACAATCTTGTCTGTACTTCTCTTGTCCTGTAAGACTTATGCTCCTGTTCCAGTTTCTGAACGATCTAGTAAAATTCAATTTACTTTTTCAATTTGTCTCCAGCCAAGCTTCCTTCTGTCAGTCATGCAGACATTTTAACACTGGCCATGTAGAGTAACGGGACAATGAGAATGAAATTACCTGTGCATTTGCGATCCGTGTCTTCTTTCTTTGACCCACTAATCGTCAACTTGCAGTTGAAGTTTTCCTCCCAGTATTCAGCAAACCAGACATTTCTTCTGTTGTTTTCAAGCGTGCGGGACGTAAAATAGGCATCAAACCCTAAAGGGAGTTAAATGAAAAGGTCATTGCTTGTGGGGCACTGCAGGAACGTTTGAAAATAGAAATACCAGCTGTGTTTTTTCTTTGTTTTAGTAGGCTGAATGCTCTTTTGTGTCAATCAAAGAAAAAAAATCACTAGAAGAAAAAAATATTCTAATGTTAACCTATACCTGTATCTCTAGATAATCTGTCAGGCAGATATGTGGCCTATAAATGACATTTTCACAGTGAAATCTGCATTAGTGAACTTGGGGATGACACGGTGCTCACAACATGCCTTGCAGCTCTGGTGAGATGGACAAAGCACCTATTACCATCATCATCAAAGAGAATAACTGGTAACTTTAATGCTTTCTATGGACCAGACTCTGTACTTCACATAGATTCTTTTACTTATCTCAACAGCCTATGCAGTACTTACTATTATTCCCATTTTGCTGATGAAAAACAGAGGTTTGATAAAACAATGTCCAAGGTCAAAGATTTCACCACATTCTGCATTCCTGACACGTGAGCTACTGACCTGTGAACATCATTTTAAGAGCCTTCTTTCATTTAGTAATGTCCCATGTGTAACTGACTTTCTAATCAAAGCACAATTAAATTTTTGAAGAATCCACTGATAAATCGAGGTCAATATTACCTCAATGCTATTCACAAAGAGTTTGAGATGAGTAGACAAATAGAAGGCCAGGTCCCCAGGAAATCTCTAACTACCTCACTAGCATGGTATAACTTTAAATATTCAAATAAAGCCACATGGTCTTGTGAGAATGAGATTGGATTCAGCATCACAAGGCCTGGGCTTGAATTCCAGCTCCCCAGTCCTCACTAAGTCGTAGAAACATGAGCAAGTACACACTTAACCTTTCTGGTCTTCCTTTTATCTATCTGGAAAAATAAAGATGACATCACCTTCATCCTCAGTTTGTTTATAACAGTGGGAAGTCTGGGAACTTACAGAATTTAAGGTCAAAACCATGGAAAAGATGAACTTACTCTCACATTATTTAAATTATTCCAAATTTTCCTTTAATTTTAGGGCCATTAAAAATATAGCTCTAGGGGGCAGGGACTGGGTTGAAGGGGACAAGGGGGTAGACATGGTGGATATCTGTAATAGTGTCAACAATAAAAAAAAGAAAAAAATATATAGTTCTAGACTCCAAACTACACGAAGAAGAATGTCAGGTTAATTTAATTCACCACTACATTTTCAGCACTGAATTCATGGCCTGACATATAATAAGCCTACTATAAATAGAAAACTTGAAATAAGTAAACAAGACCATAAAAAAAGGAAAGAAAAAAGACCTATAAAGTAAAGGAGTCTATATATCATTTTAGAGAAAATAAAAAAGAGTACTTTATAACTCTTAGGTCATTTTCCAGGCTACTGTCAGGACATGATAGGACATAATGATGTCTTGATCAGGCACCGCCAAGTGTCCTTTTATAGCCACCACATTCAGTGATTTAGGAGTAACCCAGTGGCTGCACCTGATCTCATTCTGATATCAATACTGATTAATTAATCTATCTGGCTTGAAGTCCTCCCCCCCATGTCACTCTTCTCCTACAACCCCGCCTCCAGATGACTATTAAGTAGTATAATATAATACTCTCAAATAAAGAGGAATTTTTTGGAAAATATGAGTCTTCTGTTTCCAAGATCACTAGATATATGCACTTGTCCATGTAAATACATACACACATTTACCCATAATTACTGGTGACCAACTTTCATTTTCCTCTGCTTTGTGCACAGGGTGGGAACATGGGGTAGGAGATCAGATTAAGCAAGGGTGGTGGGCTGTGTATACGTGGCCCTGGTGGACCATGCTGCCTGGGCTTTCTGCCTTTGTATAACCCTCTTTTATGCCCTGCTTTCTTATTCATGGGACATTTCATTTATCCCATATTCATGGGACACCCTTATGCAGGGTGTCACGCAAGCAGAGTCTGGGAAACCTGTGCCCCTGTGGCCTGTTCTTACAGAATTCTACTTGCAAACCAGCTGCTGTGATCTGTGAGTCTTGATCGCGGAAAGGTCATGTGGAAAGAGAGGAGTACAGCCAGACCCCAACCCTTTCAGCAAAGCCTTCTGGCCCTTTCCAGCCTTACTGCCCACTCCCAGCCAATTGCATAGAAGAAGCACTTAGCTAACTAAGACCAGCCAAGTTGCAGAACTATGAGAATCTATCTTTTAAGTCATAACATTCGAGGTAGTTTGTTATGGACAACTGAAACACTCCTTCATTATCTCAGCACTCCAAGCCCCTCTCTATGCAATGCCCAAACAACAGCACAATCTTAAGGAAGAAGAGTCCACAATAAAACATAAAGAGGCTTCAGAAACAAACTTTTTGGTTACATGCTTCAGGCCTGAACCCTAGCCAAACTCAGAATAGGAACAATTAAAGTGGCTCAAATGTTAGCCTTGAGGCACACATTCACGAGCCTGGAAGAAAACATCTTTAGAGGAAACCTCATTGTTTAAAAAGCCTATCACTTCAAAACGCCTCTCTTCAGCCTGTGTCTGCTGATATCCAGGAGGATATGAGGAAGGAAAGACTAGTTTGTGGTTCACGTAGAGGTAGGTGACTGTGAGACATTTAAAAGAGAAAAGGAAGGGAAAGCAGCAGTCACTTCCACTTCCCTCTGTTCTTCTACATGAGAACCAACAGATTTTTCAAAAGAAAGTACACACCACAGAGGCTGGCTGTATGAACAGGGACAGGAAATGGATGAAGGGCAGGTTTTCTCTGCCCATATCTTTGTCCTTGTCACTCACATGCCTGATTTCTCCACCTCCTCCTTATAGTGGGGCCTGCTGCCCACCCTCACACAGGCTGAGTACTGCTCTTGCGTCCTAAAAGCATTTATATATGAATTTCCTGGGGTTCTCATAAGATGCAGATTTAATTCAGAAGACCTGAGGTAGAAACCAAAGATGCTGCACTTTTAATAAGCACCAGGTGATGTTCATACTGCCCATACTTTGAGAAGCAGGGCTCTAGAGCAGGGGGTCCCTGACCTCTAGGTGATGGAGGGACCAGTATGGGCCTGTTAGGAACCAGGCCTTCATAGCAGGAGGTGAGCTTGAATGTAATATGCTTGAACCATCCCCAGACTATCCACTACCACCCAGGTACTTAGAAAAACAGTCTTTCACAAAACTGGTCCCTGTTGCCAGAAAGGTTGGGTACCACTGCTCTAGAGCAAATCCTGAACTTCATCAGGTGGGAGTGGAGTAATTCCAGTCCAGATGGTTAGATATCAATGTTATCACCCTCTCAACCTCAAGCATTCCCTTGGTACAGATGAGAGAGTCTTCACTTTGCTTTTGTAGTTGAGACTTTTGCTTAGTACCTTGCTCAGTATGGCAGGAGCTGTACCTTGCCAACCTGGATCCTGTAGTTGAGCATGGTAGAGCGTGCTGTTGCCTGCTGATGAATTTTCAGGAGTACTTGCTCTATATTCCCCATTGCAGCCTCAATGACTGCTTCCCTCACCTGTGTTTCCTGTTATTTCTATGGGCTCTTGCCCTGGAATTTCAGTCTTTGTGCTGTGCCTTAGTGTTTCTAAGAAGGTAACCTAATATATCCCTGTGTCTTTACCACCTCTGAGGTCCATGGCCTTGAGGTGAAAATTCAGGGCCCTTAGCCGGCTACCAACACAGCATACAGACATACCTCATTTTATTGCTCTGCACTTTACTGAAATTCATAATTGTAACTTTTTTTTTTTTTTTTTACAAATCAAAGGCAAGATCCTCTGCCAATGAAAAGGTTACAACTTGCTGTATTATGACATTGATTTACAATGGGGCTCTGGGACCAAACCCGTGATACCTCCCAGGTATGTCTGTACATTTGCTTTGGGATATTTTGCTAGAGACTAGAACTGCAGGCTTGTGTGAGAGCTACACTTTCTGTGCTTAGGGAAGTGACATAGTGTAGTGGTGAACATAGACATAGTCACAAAACATGGGTTCCAGCCCTGTATGACAGGGCTGTCAAACTCATTTTTTCTGGGGGTCACATGGGCCTTGTGGTTGTCTTCAAAGGGCCGAATGTAGTTTTAGGACTGTGCAAATGTAATTACTCCTTAACTGGGGGTAAGAAACTTGGCACCACCACCAGGTAGAAACAAGGTGCTGGGCCAGATTAAACAAGGTGGAGGGCTGGATTCGGCCTGCGAGCCTTGTGTTTGCCACCTGTGTTGTAGGACTTTGTGTACATTACTCGGCTATTGTGTGTCTCAGTTTTCTCATCTGTGAAATGGTGTCAGTAGTAATAACTACCTCATAGAGTTGTTATTAAGATTAAAGTAGTTATTATTTGTTAAGTACTCAGCATTGTGTACTTATAAAGAACGATATTAACTGTGGTTGTTCAATAAACATGCTCACCCATGAAATATTTACTGAGCATCTACTCTGTAGCAGGCACTATTATCTGCACTTAAATATTTTGGGATTGAAACATACCTGGCCCCTCATGGGGTTTATAGTCATCCAGGTGGAAAATATAGATAAAAAAATGTATTTAAATATAGAATTATGGCTGTGATGACTTCCATGAAGGGAGAATATATGATATTTTGGAAGCTCACACAGAGAGAGATAATTGTTTTGGGAAGTGAGAGAGAGCTTCCTGGAGAGACTAGATACACAGGTTAAAAAAGGAAGAAATAGGTTTTACTGGAGGCGGGGCAGAGTTTACACATTTATTCAGATGCAGTAGCATGCGGTATGCCTCAGGAATGTTGAAGTTACTCCAGCATTACAAATTGTTCCACGAAAACTAGGCCTCAAAATCAACAAATATGAATGGACCATTTTCTATGTATATGTAATCTATTATTGCTACTAAAATTCTAATCAATGGCATAAACCTTCATCCAATAAATGAATAAATATATTAAAAAGTTCATCTTCAAATAGTTGCCAAAAATTCTGATGTCATCCAGATTTTGATTTGACTGCATAAAAAAAT